TTATTCCTAACTTCAATCTTCTATCTGTGGGAATGTCGTTTGACACATATAACTTACCTACGTGGACACAATTAACTGGGCATCTACTGAACAAACTGTGAAGCAACTCATTTCAGCACTTTCCAAAGTAAAGTTCATCAAAGCTGCAGATGGTTCCATGCAGAGTGCAGACTACTTCTTTCATGGTCGGAATGAAGTTTTCAAAATGATGGTAGAAAAAAGAAGACTTCTGCCTGATTCTTTCATTGCATATAAATGGAGTGACTTCCTCATTAAATTGGGAGTAAATGATACAGTTACACAAGACCTGTTTTTAGAATATGCAAACGAGGTTGCCTCTGAAGCGCTTAGGTTAAGAAGTTGCGATATGACAGTGGTACTAGAGAAATCGCGAACATTAGCCAGGGAGCTTTCTGTTAATGAGTCTCTTCATTATCCCTCTTTTCTGAAGGAAGTTTCTACAATTAAATATATCCCACCTGTTCCAATACGTGGCGAATTACTTGAAATATATCCACTAGAAAATGAATCTGCAATGTTCATATGTCTTAAAGGGAATGTTTCATCACGTCATATGAAACTTAGTTGGTCCAATTCATCGCTTTTGCCTGACTGGGCAATTCCTAAAAAAAGATCACACATTCCAAGAAACAATGAAGCTATTAATCTGCATGAGTGTCTTGGGATTCTAGATAAACCATCAGTTGATACAGTCATAAACCATTGTCAGAATGTATGTCATCATTTGGCTGGAAAGAATTCGGCAGAAAAACAACATACCATTCCCAAGATTCGTAAATTGTTGGCTAAAGTATTGGAAGATGTGTATGACTTCCTGACAGATTACCAAAATAAACCACATTTGATGTCCAGACTACATAACACCCCACTTGTACTTGTAGATCAACACAAGGTACTGGTGCGTGCTAACCAGCTTGCATATAAGTTTGATCATTTGGGAGAAGATGACCTCCAGCCTTACATGTATGTACCTCCACGTTCTTTCGGAAAATATGAAGGTTTCCTGAAAAGTTTAGGAGCAGAAGAAAGTGCAACATTCAGACAATATTCAGATGTCTTGTCAAAGATCCACAGTAAATGTGAAGATAGAGTGATGTTACCAACTGAAAAAGACAGGGCAATGAAAGCGACCAAGGGTTTATTTTATTACTTATATGAACACAAGCAAATGACATGTGATGTTTCAAAATTGTACTTGCCTACTACAAGAGATCAGTTGAAACTATCGTCAGATCTGTTTTATGGTTCACGCAGTTTACTTTATCGCATAGACACTGATAAGTATGAATTTGCAGTACCGTTACGTGATTGTGATTGCCATGCTGACATGAACATTGACCTTTTGCCTGAAAATCTTCGCCCAAAAAACATCAGTAAATTTGTTGTAGCGAAAGTGGACCCACAATGTAAGTGTTGTATTGCGGGGGAAAGTTGCCCAATGCTAGAATATGTAGAAAAAAGAATGAAAAGCACTGAATTTGCGCAATGCATCCTTCGACTAGTGCACCATCAAACCAAGAAATGTGATGAAAATCAGATTACAATGATGAAAGAGAAGATTCAAATATGCTGTATGACTGACCTGAAGACAAAGTTGTTTAACCAGAAGCAAAATACCTATATTGAAGGGAGTGAGAAAGCGCTAATGACCTTCTTGGAGGACAAACAGAAGCTTTATATCAGCCATTCTGACACCCCATTTGATCTTAAACTATTTCAACGAGTGGCTGCGGCAGTCAACAAAATGATATCATATCAACTTAAGGACCCCAGCATAATTCACATACTTCTATCAAGCGACATTGAAAGTTTTCATGATCTGTTAACAAATGATTTTGAAATCCCTGAGCTTCAAAACCAGATTGAAGCAATCCAAGAGAATAAGCATTCACCAGGTAAAAATGTTCCAATGGATATACACCATCTTTTAGATGATGACCCGATTAACATTTTCCGCAAAGGAGAAATTGTGGCATTGAGGAGAAGTATCGAAGTAGATGAGAATGACCGAGACATCTATGATTATATCTTTGCCAAGATCACACAAGTAATTAGCAGTGATGCCGAAGATGAATTAGGACTTTCAACCAAATACAAAATTGATGATGGCTCTTGTGATGAAAAAGTTGTTAGTGGTATTGATTTGTACAAATTTTTACGGCCAAATCCACCCACAGGTCAGGCAGTTGTATCACATTCTAATCAAACCAATTCATCAGATGCTTCTTCACAGGATATTAAGCTAGAAGAAGCAAAGGACATTATCAAAAAGACTCTGTGTGAAGCTTTTAACATGCCTAAAGTAGAATGTGACAAGATTGTTAGAAGATTGTATAAAAGATGGCATCCTGACAAAAACCCCAAAAATCCTGTTTTAGCTACAGCAGCATTTCAATATCTCCGTCAAAAACTAGAAATAAGGGAAAGTGGTGGCACAACTGGAGAAAGCTATAGAAGACAGTATAACAGATGGGATGCAGAGGCACGTAATCAAAGATCACAGAGTGAACAATATCACAGAGAATATGGCCGTCATTATCGATCAGGTCGTTTTTCAGAGTCAAACATTCCACCATCATTCAACAGAAGTACCCCTAAGCCAAGAGAAGCAAGGGTTTGGTTCAAGCAAGCTGAGTGTGACCTACAAGCTGCTTTAGTGAATATAAAATCTATAAATCCATCTGCTGAGTGGGTTTGTTTTCAAGTACACCAGGCTGCAGAGAAAGCTTTAAAAGCTGCAAAATTTGCTACAGATGGTGACCCAGTGCTCAACTGCACAAATCTTACAAGTCTAATGCATGCAGTGCAGTCTCACCCTGACTGTCCTCCAGATGTTGAAGAAGATGTTGCAGAGCTAGTTCAAAATAGGTGCGACTTCAGTAACACACGTTATCCACAACGGCTTATGACACCAAATGAGAGATACAACATTTGTGAAGCTAAGGATGCAGTGAAATGTGCACAGAGATTATTGGACAAAATGAAGCAGTTTATTGGAATACGACGCTTCTAATATTATCTAGGAAATACAAGGTTGGTTATTTAAATGTTAATTTCACACTAACAAAAAGCTTAATTGCTTCAGTGGACACATTTATCACTTGATAGGTTGTAGTTAATTCTGCTGTTATAAAACACAATTATTTATCCACCATGGCTTCCTGGGTTACAGTTTACAGTCCAGCATTCAATTTAAGTAGAATTTGATCTATGTACACATCATTTTATATATACATTTACTAGCATCATATGATATGATATTCATTCTGTTTTAGAGTTGTGTAATGCTGTAATGGACTTCAGTTCAGCTACGAAATAGTGAAAAACAAGATCTGAGATGCAACAATCTGGACACATAATCAGAGATATAATGTTGAAGTCAATCCTCAGTATACCATACAGCATTGGACATATTGTTTCCCCGCATATTTTTAAAAATAATTAACATCCCGCCAACCAAAAATGAATGAAAGCTTACTTAGCACATAGAGCCAGCATATTGTAAATAAGTTAGAAACATTTTAATTAGATATTTATACCTCTGACTACTGTTTTTCAATAATTATAACAGCAGTAATAGCACCCTTAGATATTCTTCCTCTCAGAATTCCATTGATTGACTAGCCAACATGATAATGAATCGTGTGTGTGTATATATATATATATATATATATATATATATATATATATATTATACAAAAAGGGCCATGGGATTTGTTTTGACCATGGTCTAACATTAACAGGATTGTTAACAATGCTTTGCCGTGATTTAGTTTGAAAATATGTTCCATTTTAATGAAAATTCAAATTTAAGTAATATAACATCATACAACAGGTTTAATATGCATTTGTAATGTCTCTGATATTCACGCATACAAAATTATATTAGAAAAAATATTTCTTTCAAATTTGTCAAACAATTGTTTTTCATTTATATACATAACATTTAACTAATGATGAGTCACTTTATATCTACTTCTATGAGGATGAATTCATTCTTTGCTTGATACTTAATGTTTAGCATGTGTGGCTATCAGCTTTACTTCAACTTAACAACTAAATCATCATACAAAAGCACACGTGTAGTCATAAACATATTTGGCTCATGCAAGTTTAATGTCGTTTTTCGAGAATCGAGTGAGATGGATATAATGATTCTCTAATACATGTTTTGTAATATTATTTTATTGTATTATTGTATAATATCATCCCGAATATTCCAGTTTTAGTTATCAGGAAAACTTGGCTGTATTCCGTCACACGGCATGGTCCTGTGTTGATCGTTTAGTGTTGTAGTAAACTGGTTGTGACCTAAAATAATAATGTACCACAATAGCAGTTACAGTGGTTAGTCATTTATTAAAAACTGTTTTAACTTTGAGACTGTTGATGAAATTTGAAAATGGTTGTTTTTAGTACAATGTGTATTGTTATTATTTGTTGCAAAATTGATTATGCATCATTTAATAACACTGAAAAAATTGATATGTATATTTGATGTACGTGTGTTTTGTCTAAACTTATTTTTGCTTGTTTTGGACTTGGCTAAACCACCATAATTACAGTGTATGTTTACTATAAAATGTGCGCTTCATCAGAACATATATCCGAGATTACTTCGATATGGCAATGAAATATTAGTATCTATCCATATACATATGTAATTTTTTCATTGTATCTGCATTCAGTTATTAGAACATTTCACTACTTATAGTGATTTTCAGGTGATATATTCGATATTAAAATTTTGTATACAACTTATGTTAGACAAAGAAACATTACGTACTTGATAAAGCATTTAAAGACCAATTAATTGACAATGCCAGTGCTGTGTGATAATAGTTTAGCATTGACATACTTATATGATGTTATTTTTAACTTAGTAGGACAACTTGATTTATTTGTATTTCATTATTGGCACTATAATCCAACTAGAGGAAAATATTTGTCTTCATCTCATCTGCTAACTGTGAACGTAACGTTCAAATCACAGTTGATGCAATACTTGAGAAACCACTTGTACAGTTTCGTGGTCCGAAAACGATGACTTATGCTAGTAGTTTAGGCTGCTACTATTTAGTGTATCGTACCTTATATGTGGTATATATTTGTTCTGGACTCAACAATTTGATTTGACAAACTCATGTTCTTTCATGGTGGCTTACTGGTCCAATTTGTTATGCAATTTGATTCACTGTGTTTTTATTTCACTTTTTGGCTGATTTTACATATATCCTTGAATATGTCCTTGGATACGAGTATTTAGTATTATTGTCCGGTCTAATTTGTTTAGATTCCAACCTGCTGTCTTGAAAGCATGTGTTTTCGATTTCAACTTCGCCATTACGGGATATAGGTCGTTCAGTCTATTTTAAATGTAAAATATATTAAATCCGGACTATATGATGTTTTTGGTTTAATCCACAGACTAATAATACAACAAACTAGCAACGCATATTGTTTAAGGTGTTAATCGGCTGCGGAACACCGGATAGTCTACACACTTTGTGCTTTTTCGATAGTTGCTTATTTCTTCGTAAAGCATTCTGGACATTTTGACCTTTGCAGCTGTGTAAGAATTTTAAGAATCGACCAAAACTTACAAGTAACTGAATGTCATAGTATATAACTCGTAGTTTTTGAAACTATATTTCTCGCTGTTGCAGATTGTGCGGAAGGTTTCCGACATTTTTTCGGGAAGGGCATATCGCTGTGTTATATGTGTTCAGGGGTGCCAAAACATAGAATAGCTGGTATAATATACATAATATCTCCCAGCGTATCAGCGTAAGCCGGGCATTGGTAAAAACTGGGGGAGGGTGTTATTTCTATTGCGTTTGATTTTATAGTACGTGTTTTACGCGTTGTTTGTAGCCATCGTCCTCAGAGTCGCTAAATGTCAATTTCGAATTTTGATGTGGTCCTGGAGGTAATAAGAATTACCTATGTATCGCGATAGTTGATTGAAATGTGAATAGATCTCGCGTTATTTGTGAGATTTAATAATCTTGTTGCTCTGCAACGTTTACTCGGTACGATAAGAACTGATAACCTAAACAAACGTGGCACGAGTTACTTCAAAAGAAAACGCCGCGTTGCCAGTCTGTTGTATTAAGTCTGAGTTTAATCTAAATATATGTAATTGTTTGATAAAGTTACGAGTGCAGTGGGACAATATGGCGTTATTTGTTGAATATAAATACATCTAATTGTTTTATCATAGTTAAGTAGTAGACTGGGATAATATGGTGTTATTTGTTGAATTTAAATACATGTAATTGTTTTATCATAGTTAAGTAGTAGACTGGGATAATATGGTGTTATTTGTTGAATTTAAATACATGTAATTATTTTGATAAAGGTAATATCAAATTCAGTAAAAATTGTTTTCTTGTTTAATTTATCGTGCCTTGAATTATATATGTATGAAATAACGGCATGTTGTCAATGCACATCAATAATAATGTTTATAGTAGTTACCTTTCGATATAATATGCATTGTGTTTGCTCACAAAGTCGCCCATGAAGCCTATTGTCATAAAGCTGAGAACAAATCAAAACAAATTGAGTAGCTCAACAGTTTAAACTTGACTAAAACGAGGTTTTGGAAACAGTCGCCCAATAGAAATGCCATCGTTATGGGTTATGCATAATGCATGTAAGATCTAATGAGGGTCATGTCGTATAAGTTTATTGAAGCCTTTCGTATGATTTATATATTTCATTCTGATCATGTTTTGGAAAACAAATAGTTTAGTACGTAGTTCAGTGAAGGTAATAGTCTTCTTAAACGGTAATATGAAAATACGTTTATGTTGTACTAATGTAATCAATTCTCATAACTAGACTTATTATTGAAATTTCAGTATTCAGACCCAAAAATAAGCTCATTCTTATGTAAGTCTGGTTCAAATATGCGTATCGAATTTTTATGAGGAACATATGCAGCTGACATATGGTCACACTGTCGTCTGCAACTCCAAATAATTGTGTAATCTGTAGATATATAAGAAGCTGTTTGTTATCCAAAATGCGGGCTAGAGGGTTATTATGTATTATATTATAGCATTATCAATACCAGTGAATTTTATGACGTCATTGCATCAGATTATTCGCGATAATGTATTTTAATATTGAGCATCAAGGCCTTGTTCCATGGATATGAATACAATGTTATTTTCGAAAACGAATAAAGAAGAAACTATTGAAAAAGAAGAGAAATTGTTAGATAACAAGTATTTAATACCAAAAATAGCATCAAATAAAACTGTCCATAACCAATAACAGCGGATTCCAATATCGAAATCAGACAATATTGTGAGGGAATTGTACATTCTCCTTCCCAGAGTTCCTTGCGGTTAGATCACCGAAAGTATATAATAGAACTCTGCCTGGAAGATTGGGAATTGTAGTCTGCTCTGTACGCTAACGCGCGTTCGGTCGAAACGTTCCATCTAGTACGCGCTTCTAGATTCCGCGACTGACGCCGCTGTCCTTGTGGCCTCCTTATTACGCCCTATCGTGTTGATGGAGTGAGGTTAACCAAGGATAATTTACCCAAGCAAATGCGATAAACGAAATGGGGGGGTACAATGTATGTCTAAGAGTACAGAGAGATGAATTTGTTCTGTTTTTGTAGTGAGTAGTACTAAAAAATTTGCGAAACGAGATAGACGAAAGACCGACGTGACTTATATTTCCTCAGCGTCGACTCCCGGTAAATGTAACAGTCCAGGCACATTTGCATAAATAAATGAAAGTATCAGTGTTCCCAAGTGTGTATCTGTTTATTTATACAGTGAGATTAAAATCACTGTTGGTTCTCCTTCTAGGATGGTTAACACCCACTAGCTTTCCGGTCATGATCGTTCGCCCGCTTCGAATTATTCGTCAAATCCCCGCCCTGTCGTGGAATTTAAAATAACTCTTACACAGAAAGGACAGTTGCCAATAATATCCACCTTGGTGGTTTGAAAACGCTAGTGGGATGGGGTAACGATGCAACTACGTGTA